TTTTCCCCTGTGCTGGGCTCGACTTGCTCCTTTCTTAGGCTCGGTTTGGGCTCTTTTTTGGTGATTTTATGTTGGCTAGAATCCTTTATATTTTTGGACCATTTTCTGAGCTCGATTTACCCCTATGCTGGGCTCGGTTTGGGCTCCTTTCTGGTATTTTATGTTGGCTGGAATCCTTTATATGTTTGGACCATTTTCTGAGCTTGATTTACCCTTATGCTGGGCTCGGTTTGGGCTCCTTTCTGGTGTTTTACGTTGGCTGGAATCCTTTATATGTTTGGACCATTTTCTGAGCTTGATTTACCCTTATGCTGGGCTCGGTTTGGGCTCCTTTCTGGTGTTTTACGTTGGCTGGAATCCTTTATATGTTTGGACCATTTTCTGAGCTCGATTTACACCTATGCTCGGTTTGGGCTCCCTTCTGGTTTTTTATGTTGGTTGCAATCCTTTATGTGTTTGGACCATTTTCTGAGCTCTATTTACCCCTATGTTGGGCTCGGTTTGGGCTCCCTTCTGGTGTTTTATGTTACCTGGAATCCTTTATGTGTTTGGACCATTTTTTGAGCTCAATTTACCCCTATGATGGGCTCGGTTTGGGCTCCTTTTTGGTGATTTATGTTGGCCGAAATTATCTTATTATTTGGATTATTCCGTGGGCCTGGTTTGACACTTTTGTGGAGGATGGTTCGGTTGGGGCCTCCTCTTTAATGCCCCCCTCCTTTTGAGATTTTTATGGGTAATCAAGTTTGTCATCCAAAAATTCATAAATTTTAATATTTCTCTATGTGGGAGTGTTTGATATGAGTGTTCTCATGCTTTATATGATGAAAGTGGGTGCGATCTCAATGATGTATAATAGCTTGTTCGTTCACTCTCTTATGTATGTCAAATACAATGCAATGGTAGTACTTATGGTGGTTTCCTTATGCTGCCTTTGGGACTTTCTTCTTGGCCCTTACTCGTAGGTCTATGCTGCCTTTGTGGCCTTCTTCTTTGCCCCTACCCGTTGGTTTGTGTTGTGTTGGGTTCCTCCTTATCATCTGTGGCCGTGAGCTTCTTATTGGAGGTTTGGCTGCCCTCTTTCCTGACCTTACCCGTGAGCTCTGTTCCCTTTCCTGGTCTAGCCTGTGAGCCCCTACCCTCTTTTTTGCTTTACCCGACAACCTTACCTATTGATCTCTTCGTGGAATAAGTTGGGTTGATAGCCATACCTCTCTGTGGCCTCTGGTTATGAATATTTATATGAATAAAATGAAAAGTTTTTAATGAAGGTTGGATTTAAATGATTTTGATATTGACATGATTTTCTGGAAGGCTAGAAGGTTCCCCCCCTCTATTAATTAGTCTCTCTTATTTTGTGACATATAAAAGACTTTTATAGCTTTATTTTAGGAAATCATGAATTTGATATAAATTGAATTCATAAAGGGTTTGGAAATTCATAAAATTGCCATTTGGAAAGGATACCATTCCTGGGTTGATCCAATTATAAAAAATTGAGAAAATGATATTCTTCTAGGATTGATTCAAGGATCTTGAGCGGGCCCTCTTTCCTAGGTCTTTTTGCTACAGTTTTGAGGGTTGATTCATCATCTGTCTCTTCGATGTTTTAGGTGAATCAGTGTCTCCTGAATCAGTGTCTCCTCTCTCTCATCCCTATTTTTATTCTTTTCTTTCCTTGCTTCTTGGTTCGGTTTTCTGTGCTTATGTTCGATACATAAGTGCTCATGTATGGCCTTTTGATATATGTGAAACCATCAAACAAGGTCGCAAGTAGGTCGGTTTTTGTTTTGGGGCGTAGGATGATGATGACAAAGGCACGCCGGTGGTAGAGCAGAATGATACCTCTTCCTACAACACCAGGACTCAATTCTGGGACCTGATGAACTGTAGGATGAAAGTATCATTCACCGACATAAGACTATAGGGGGACCTGTATCTTCTTAGGTTGTTGGTGGTCCTAGGCTCGATGACGTGATCTTGTGGACAATTATACTTTTTCAAAATTGATAAAACAAATTGATAAGGACAGATACAATATTTATAAAAATATTTTCATTACAAAATTAAATACAACTTTCCTTTTGTATGCTTGAAACATATGTGCATGCTAAAACTTAAATTTTAAAATATGTTACATTCGGGTTGTCCACCTGTTGATCACCGATCCTGGGCTAAGGAGTACCCTCTTAAGTTAGGTTCAGTAGAATATTCTTCTAGTGGAGTGATGGGCTTTATACATCTGGCTGACTGAGTAGCCTTCGACGACCTTCGAGTACAAATATATATTTGAGCCTAACCCCGACCCGAGTGCTTGCGGTCCCCACTTTTCGGATTTTTTCGTATGTTTTTCTTGAAATTTTGGACAAAGCACTCATAGTCTTTTCTCCGGGATTTTTCTGAGGTTTTTGATAGTTTTATTTGGATTGTTATTCGTTAATTTTCTCGAATTTTCCGTCGGGATTATTTGTCAATTTTCTCGAGTTTTCCGGGCAATGTTTCTTTTCCTTATAAAGTGAATACTAGTTAGCTTAAAGGAGCAACAAATCTCTCAAATACACAGGTGTGATTTACATTTTAACATTTTATAATATGCATGTTATACTGTTTTCCTAGTTTGCTATACTGTCTTCCTAGTTTGTTGTACTTTTCTCCTAGCATGCTATACTGTTCTTTCTTTTTACTATACATTATACTGTTCTTTTCTTTTATACAACATGCTTTGTTACTTTGATACACACTATACCTTAGTTTAGGAAAACCTAATGGTTATATAGAATTAACATTAAACCTAGAGGTCCTACTACGAAAAGATTTGGAGAGAACACCGTGCGCAGCACGACGAGGAACAACTTCAAGGTGGATCTGCAACATCAATACACTTTCACATCACCAATCACTTTCCGTAGTTTAAATAACAACCCATAGGATAAATAACAACCCATAGGAGCGCAACATAAACCCTCACATATCACCTTTAGGCTTTTGCACAATTCTGTTGTGCAATTATAAGTCCTAACACTTTAAGATTCCGAGGTTTAAGTCCTAACACTTATAAGTCCTAACACTTTAAGATTCCGAGGTTACCGTACGGTACGGTGTAAATCCTCCTATCTTTTTAGACTATTTGCACGATCAAATATCGTATAAATATAAGTCTTAAATTCTAAATAAATTACAGGATTAAAACATTAAATAACATCATTCCAAAGACATAAAGCCAAACAGTAGGATAGTTGGGAAGTCACCAGGATTTTCCCTGGATCTGTGATATCCTCTACTTTTCATTCCTTTTGAGCCATTCCCCTTTGACTTTCCCTTGCCCAATCTTGGAAACCTAAACTTTGAAATCTTGAATGCAAAACCACTGATCTTAATCGAGAGTTTTCTTAAGTGACCCCAGTCATTTAAGTTGTAATTAACTATAGGGGCTTGCCTCTATAGGAAATTTGGAACCCAAGTAAAATAAACCTTATCTAATCTTTATATTAAGTAAGGGAACTTGTTGGCCTCATATAAAATATTTCGCAGACCAAATGGATGTTCCAAATTCTTTAGTTTAGATGATTGAGCATACTACAAATGATATGTTTATTCTTCGGGATAAGTATATTATTTGTGGTATCGTGCTTAGTCACCCAAACTATTCAAAATGTGAGACTCGTTCGGTCTCACCTATTTTTAAATCAAAATGTTACTTTCAAAAATCATATTCATATCAAAACTATTTTCATATTATATATATATATATATGCCTTAAACCTTAACCATTCAATTTTTCGGTCAAGTTGGCATCTTAGATGAGCCTCACCTTATACTAGATTTTTTGTTTTTGTAGGGGGCCGTCTGAATTCTATGAATTCGAGGTTTAGTCCTTTAGATGCTTTGGCTTTTGCATGTGTTTAATTTATATCCTTTAGAAAGAAATCCATAATGTTGAATAACCTGCATCAAATTATTTGAATTGAACAACCATGGTGAATTACCAAATTCAATAGAGTACTATGAATGAATTATTGCCAACTATCAAATATTCAGTAGTCGAATAATGAATGTAACATGCAACCGATATCTAAGTTATTTCTTGGTGGAGTAGCTCTAAAATCATGATACTGTTTAGTTCATCATATTTGTATTTTTTATTCATTCTATGAAAATCGTGCTTTAAGTTGAGTGCTAGGATGACTTTGTTTGGTGTAGACTATCTATTTATTCCGTGACTCATTTATAGGGTGTAGTCTTGCAACTTTTAAACTTCACCCTTAGCAGGGGCCAACTGAATTTCTTACTTGAATTAGTCTACCATTTGGTTAACTTGTTGAGGATAATACATTTTGAAAATTAGTTTTTTTTGTCTATTTTGTTCTAAGCTGCTAATTTTTTGAAGTTTCGGCTTTGAAGTTTGGTTTGTTTCAAGTAGGGCAATTCATTGTTGACTTCAATATCAAATTTTCTTAATAACTTTTTGAATTCTATGAGATGATTTCAATAAGTCAATTGAATGTATCCTACCAGCTGTGGGGCCAATGAGCTAGTTTAGCATGGCGATTCAACAGGTTTTCTTGGAACTAGTTCTCTGTCAAAATTGTTCGTGGTAAACATGTATCTATTTTTTTTTTTTAATGATTCTCTTTTTAAATTTTAGGATAAAATTAGATTCCTTAATGCTATAATATACAAGTGGATTATACACTGTGCAGCCCAGTTGGTCTGGTGATTAGGTGCTTTAACCGCAGGGTTATATGTTTTAGGCCTACAACATTTGAATGTCTTTGTGAGTAAAAATAAAAAAATTGATTGTATACTTTAATTTATGTCCGAACTTTGGGCTTTAACTTAACCTATGAAAGGTGTAAAAATGAAACACCAGAATTGAGAGAGAGGAAATTATTGATGGGTTATTTTTATAATACCAGCATGATGGCTGCCTCAGCTTATTGTTTGGAACATTTCTATTTACTTATGTTGTGTGGTAGTCTGACACGTTTTTCATATTTCAGATGTGGCCTGGTATAATTCTTAAGAGCAAGGAAGGAGGAGCTGATGTAATACAAACATATGTATTTTGGAATGGGCATGAGCCTGTTAGAGGTCAGGTATCATACATTTATTCTACTTTGCAATAAATCTTGTAGTTATTTTTATAAAAAATAACTCATTTTGATACTGGTTTGCAGTACTATTTTGAAGACAGATATGATCTTGTTAAGTTTGTGAAGCTGGTTGGTTCAAGTGGACTTTACTTTCATCTTCGCATTGGTCCTTATGCATGTGCAGAGTGGAACTTTGGGTCAGTTTTCTTGATTCTTTTGAAAATTAGAATAATTTATTCAAAAAGAAGTTTGACTATTTTTATCTCGCCTAGATTCCTATATTGGTACTAGTAGTAATTACAATTAAAAAAAAATCATCCTTTTCGTTTTGGCGATGCTAAAATTTTACAACTATTATCATGAATTTTTGCAATGTTACTCGAAAAATTCGTATAAAGATGATAGCATAATAGCTTAAGGAAAAAAATTGAAAAAGAGAGCAAACATATTATCAGTATGATATAACAGAAAAGTTTGGCATGTAGCAAAATTGGTTAGGTTATAGTAATTGAATTAGTGTACTGAAAAAATGAAAGTAATGCCGTCCAAGTAGATGAACAAATTGAAATTTATGTTGAGGAGATTGGCTATAGACTCATAGATTTTATAAAGTAGATTTTAGCTTGCACATCAAACACATACAATCAGAATGATAATGAACTATATCTTAATCTATACATGTTCATTTTTTCCTTGTATTATTATCCTTTTTAGTGTGATAGCTTAACATTCGTTGCTGCACCCAAAACATTAGATAAATTTTTGTAAAACTAGTAATATGCATAGTGACGCAGGAGTCTCCCAATAGACGAGTCCTGGGAGAACACAGGAGACTGAATTCTGTGTCCTACTACTCTTACAACGGTGTGGGAAAATTCCCACTGTTTTGGCTGCTCCAGCCCTTACGAGTTCCCAATTTTATATTATTAGAAATAGAGTTAGGATTATTTTATTTGAAAATTATTTATATGTTATTTTTCGGTTTTGGGACCTTTGCTTTGGTTTATTTATTTGGAGATTGTGTTCTCTAATTTTTCCGCCTTATTATATTTCTTTTCTTTGGTAAGTGGTGTGTCAATAGCTTGTTCAAGAACATGTGTTGGATCTCTCTCAACTGTCGTGCCACTTAGAGCCATCATTTATGGTTCTCTCAGTTGTTTTCAGTTCGAACAACTGCCAAAATTTTTCTATCCCCTTCCAAACTCCGTCGACCTCATATATTTTAGCTCCATTGCTATTCCACAACTTCCTCCTACCTAAATCCTATCCTTAAGATCCTTCTATAGATTTTAGAATGGTGTCATTTAGTATTAGAGTACAACAACAATAACAAGCCTTTATCCCACTAAGTGGGGTTGACTACATGAATAGTTTTTCTCCATTGTGCCTAGTTGAGTGTTATATTTTTGTTTATTTTTAATAAATTAAGATCATTTTTATACAACAAGCCCAAGTTTTTTTAGGTTTTTACAGAAGTAAAATCCAAAACATCTACTCTCCTAACTTTGTTATGAGATGACCTGTGTTAATATGAACAATCTAAGACGACTTTTCTAATCTTATCGGCCACTAGAGCTACTCCAACACTTTCACAAATATATTTGTTTTGCATTTTGTATCCAAGTGTATAGCCACTCATCCACCTGAGCATTCTCATCTCAACATAACTTAATTTTCTGCGCTTCTTTTAAAGACCAACATTCTGCGCTATAAAGCATTGCAAGTCTCACCACCATCTTGGAGTCTAAGTGGTACTTTACTATCACATAATGGGCTCGATGCATTCCTCCACTTCAACCATCCAACTTGAATTTTAATAATAACATCCCCATCTATATCACCATCACTTTGAACAATCGACCTAAGAAAAATATTCACTCCTTTTAATGACTTGATCTCTCTTAAATACAACTCCTCTATTAGATCTACTACTACTAAAATTATATTCCATGTATTCAATTTTAGGTCTACTCAAACAATAGCTTTTAAACTCTAAAGTTGACCTCCATAATTCAAGTCTTTCCTGAATTCTCTCGTCTTATCCACAAGAAGGATATCAACAAAAAGTATACACCAAGCAGTGCTTTCAAGGCGCAAAGTGCAATGCAATGCAATGTGTACGACTTTATTTTTATTTCGAAGCGCAAAACACAGAGCGAAGCGGCGCTTTTATTGATCAAAACGCTGATAGGTTATATACAACTATTAATGTATAAATAATTTTTTAAAAAAATTATAAAATATAAAGTATGACTTAAAAGTTGATATAAAATAAAAAAACTTGTGATATAATACTTAACTTGAAGGCAAATATTGAGGGTAAACCTACAAATTAAAATTTTGAACAATTTATTATATTTTTCTGCAATAACTAAAAACTTTAAAATTATAAAGAACATGCAAATTATTTTGTCGCTTCGAAGCATGCTTTAGTGAATCGAAACGGTTCACACACTTCGCTTCGTTTTACTCGTGGCACTTTTAAAAACATTGATACTATGGTACATCCTCATGTAAATGTTCAATAAGAACATCCATAATTAAAACAAAAAGATATGGGCTTAAACCGACCCCTGATGTAATCCAACTGAAATAGGAAAATACTTTTTCAATTCTCCTTGTGTTCCAACACATGTAACAACTCTAGTATACATATTTTTAATAACATCAATATAAGCAATGAACACCTTTATTTTCTAGAACTTTTCAAAGTACATCTCTCGGAATCTTATCATTATTTTTTTAAGTCAATAAAAATCATATGTAGATCTTCCTCACTCTCTTTGTACTTCTCCATCAAACATCTCAAAAAATGTATAGCTTCCATAGTAGATTTGCCTGACATGAATCCAAAATGATTTGGATTAGAGGTTAACAAATCTTAAATCATTAAAAATTTATTTTCCCCTATTCTCAAACCTATAATTCACATAATCTAATATATCCACCAAAACTATTCCTATATCCTCCACTTAACCCTATACTTTTGGCTAATCCTAGATTCAAAATTTTCATCATTGTCGCAACCCTAAAATAACGAGACTTACCATGTTGCCTATGAGAAATCATAGGGGTGTTCAAGACCTTATCGTAGAAATTATGCATTGAGAAATCTTTTAAATGCAGTGGTGGCTCGCTGAATTTGAAAAGAGATAAAATGAGGAAGTCATCAATATCATGGAGGTGAGGCCATTCATTGGTAATGTGGTGCAAAAATAACCCTACTGAATTTTACAGGCTGTTCAGACCCTCCTTGATATTGGAGAAGAAGCACAGTACACTATTCCGCTCTTCTCTTCATATAGGGATCAATCATTAGGTCGGGTAGCACAAGCATGTCGATAGAGCACCCAAACCCAACACATGAGGAAAATAAGTTTAACTTGGCCAATGTTTCCAAAATATTTTCAGTTAGGAAATGTTTCAAGTGCTATGTGTACTGGCACATTGTATCCAACTGCCCTGTCATGAGTGATTTCATTTAATGAGCAGGGTGCAGTGAAGGAAGAAAAGAGTTAAGACCCAATGGAGTAGACATGACAAGAGAATTTGTTACCCTTAGATGATGGTTAGATGCTTGTGATTTGATGATTTCCTCAAACCGAGCCTAAGAGAGATTGATAGTGCATAGACATAACATCTTTCGTAGCTGTTGCGGTCTGAAAGGAAGGTGTGCAACTTCATTATAGACAGAAACAATTATGATATTGTAATATCTACATTGATGGTGAATAAATTAAAAATCACTACTTTGAGGCATTCTCAGTCATTTTTTGGCTGACTTGGTTGAAGAAGAGGAATGAGATTTGTGTCGATAAGAGGTGTATGTAGAATTTTCAATTGGACATAAGTTGTAGGATTAGGTGTGGCATGATGTCATACCTATAGATGCATGCCACATTTCTTTGGGCCAATTGTGGTAGTATGCTTCATGATGGTTAGAAAAACACTTACTTATTTATTAAGGACGGGAAAAATATTTTATTTTTGTGATTGGATTCAACAATGATAAGTACTCGGATAGAGATAAGAGTTATAGTGCTTCATGCCACTTTTCTATAGGCTTTGAGAGATGCGCTAGTTGGATTGACATTGGTAGTGCTAAAAGGCAGCGACATAGAAGAATCAATATTTGAGGCAGTGTGACCGATATTGGAGAGTTTTGTGATTACAACACTCGTACTACGAGGATTCTGGTGCTCTTGAAGATGAACACTAGATTCTCCCACCTGGGGATGATGACATGGGAGCGTCCTAGGGATGCGGAACCGCATCTTGGGCAACCATTGCTATAATGTTAAAATTCCCTCTATTTAATTTGTGAACAATTTATTTGTTGCTATTTCCTTATTTTGGGACTATTGCTTTGGTTGATGTTTTTGGAGATGTGTTACTGATTTTTTTGCTTTAAGGAGTGTTTTATTCTCTTCCTTTTGCAAGTGATGGTTTGTGGTTTGTTCATGTATAGGTCATGGATCTCCCTTGGCAGCTTTGCCTCTTCTAAGTTGGCATTTCGTGGTTTCTATCCCCTTCAAAACTCCATCTACCTTGCATATTCTCACTCCAATCCTTAAACATTTGCTAGGAATCATAGAACGGTCTCATATGGAAAATGTGCTGATGTTAATTTTAGATGTCAAAACTCGCCAGATTTATTATAAAAAATGATAGCAGAACACATTTCAATGTCTACTTTCATGTGTTGACACTAATGTGGAACTAAACATAATATAACAAAATGAAACATAGCGTAACCATGAGTGGATATATTATTAAACATTTAAGAGCTAGGATGCGGTGATGTACGTGAGCTTTAAGTCATTGACTCCTTGCCACATCTTGTTACCTCAGCTTGCTCTTAAACCCTTGTTCACTTTGAATGTTAGATATTGGCTGCACTCTCCTTCAGTTTCTTACTCTCTCTCTCACTGCCTATCCATTTATTCTGCTATCTCCATTTTATTTTCAATCTTATGCTCTATAACCCCTTCACCATAGCATATCATATTGAGCTAGGGTGGGTGGATGAAGAGAACTTCAATTAGATGATTGAATGAACATCGTATTCATAACTTACTTTTAAAAAGCCAAGATCTATTGAATAAAAATTTCAGTTCCATTTACATACAAATAAAGTAGTTAAATTCATTGTTGAATGTTGAATGTAAAATTAAACAAAACATAAACTTATCATTTA